TAGGGGATTTTATGGTTCAGTTTCCCGTACCCCCTCCCCCTCTCCCTCCCCCTCTATTAGGAAAAATAAATCAATTGTAACTAATCTTTCCCATGGGGCAAACAAATTGACAAGTGGTTACCCCACCATGGAAAAACTTTATCTGTTTGGGGCCAACAACCTAGGCTGTGGAGAGAATTTTTGAGAATGCCATACTACCATCAGAATGGGTAAATTAGTAAATACATGTTAATTTATTTTTACTAAAAATCAAAGCATGGACATGAATAGGTGAACTGCGCCAAAGTTAATCCACTACCACTGTCGATTTGTTTGCCACGTGGGCAAGATTAGTTACAATTGATTTGTCTTTCCTAACATAGGGCGAAGGGGTAGGGGAGACTGAACCATAAAACCCCTATTTTTGATTGCTATAACTTGTTTTATACATCTGGAATGAATTTTGCCATTTGTCTATTTGATGTATGATAGTTATTTCTCTATTTGAGATGCAAATTGACCAAGTTCACGCGGAGGTATTGTTTGAATCTTTGATGGAATATGGCGTGGGGAGAGAGATATGACTTTTTATCATATGGGTCAGTGACAATTATGTTTTAACTTACAACCTTCATTTTGCAACAAAGACCTCCTCCATTAGAGTTTCACCAACTTAAAAAAAGATTCTGATTTTTTTGTTTAATTTTTTTTAAATCCTCAAAATATCCTTTTATTATTTATTTGAAGAATTTATGATTCGATTAATTTTCTAAATATAATACTAAAGTACTTTTAATTACTCTTAATTATTCTAATAGATTATTGTGGATTTTGGTTGGATTTAATATTTAGATGAAATGGTTGAAGTTTATTTTTTATAAATATAAATTTAAAGTTTCATTTGGTTTTTCTTGATTTATTGGAGAAAAGAGTGAATACTTTTTATCATGGTTTTCAAAATTGGATTGGATCAGACGGTCGGACCGGAAAACCAGGAACCGGTCATTTGATCGGTTCCGTTTTTCCCCAAAATTGGAAATTTCCCAAAAACCACTAATTTTGGTCAGCAAACCACTGACCCTGGCGGTTAACCGTTCGAACAGTTTTGATCGTTTTTTCATTTTTTTTTTTATTTTTTTTTGTCAGAATGGGTCGATCGTTTAGTTCGAACAATCGGACCGTTCAACGTGGGAACCGGACCCCTAACCAGTTTGTTCTCCGAGTCAGTTTTAAAAACCTTGCTTTTTATATTTTAAGATACATTCATGTATGTGAAATGAAACAAGAATTTAAAGATACTCGTTTTTCTATGTCAGCGAAGTGAAACAATTCTTATTATTTTAGCTGGTTTTGTTTGGAGAAAATGGATGTAAATTTGGGTCAATTAGAGTTTAAGAGAAAATGATGAGGAAAAGAAAAATAAGGAAAGTTGAGGTGAGTATTTTGGTAATTTAATGCATTCCATCATCTAAATTAATGACTAGGGGGTATTTATCGCAAAGTGAAAGTTTAAGGAGTCTTGTTGCAAATAAAAATTTAGGGGGTAATTGTCAGTAACCTCATAGTACAAGGGGGTCTTTATAATTTACCCTTATTTAAAGCATCATTAAGGTTTTTGACAAATACTTTAAACATCCCTAAGGGATTATAGCTTATAGCGGCAACTTTTGAGTCCTAATATCAATAAAGATAATCCTTTTAATATTATTTCTAAAATAGTTTAACTTTTTTTAAAAAAATATATCAAATAAAGGCAAAAAAATTGTTCATCTCCTTCCTTTCCAAACCACAGAATAAATTTCTCTCGACCAATATACATGTTTCCGGGACACCTGAATCGAGACCTCGTCCACTTCAATCCTCGCATTTCCCTTGAACTTCCACTTCAATTGCTTAATCTGCAATACCCTTTTTCGATTGACACTGAAATAAAGCTTGGGCTCATCGCCACTCACGCTGCAATCACTGACAACACCTGGGTGGGCTTCCCTGTTTTGATTCTACTGTATGCTTCCCTTTGAGAATCACTGACAAGAAGGGTCAATGACGATGACAATGTAGAACCCAGATTGGGGTTTGGGGCTGAAAGCAACGAACTTGACTATGGTGAGATTCTAGTAGATTTCTACCTTCTTCTTCGTCGGAGGTGAGCGAAGCGACGACAACAACATTGGTGGATGGTGGTCATTGAGGTTTGAGAGGCTAGGGCGAAAGCAAGACGGAAAGAGCCAGAGGAAGAAAATGAATAATGTTTTTGCCCTTATTTGATATATTTTTTAAAAAATTAACCTATTTTAAAAATTATATAAAAGGATTATTTTTTTGATATTAAGGCCCAAAAATTGCCCTTTCCAGCTATAATTAGGGGTGGCAATTTTTAACCCAACCCGCCCATTTACTTGGCGGGTTGTGCGATCAACCCATCACCCAACCCACCCATTTAAATGGGTTGGGTTGGGTTGTGGATAACCATTGGGTTAACCATTATAAACATAAGTATTAATTCCTTAGCTTTTTTTTTTTATTTTCTTCATTTGAATTAAATAATTTATAATTAATGCATTAATTTTCTATTAATAATTGACTAAATTTAGTTTTGTCTTGAATCAATACACTTCACCCAACATAAATCCTAATCAATTTGACTCGAGTTCGGATCAGTTCAACGCGATCTGACCCAATCTAGCATATATTGATCCGGGTCAACCTGAATCCAAAATAGACCTCGGGCAGGATGGTTCGGTGCCGTGTGCTTTATCCGATTTGGGCCGTCAAGTACAAGTCAATCCGGGGTCAACCCGAATCCGAAATGGTTTTGGGTGGGATGTTTTCAGCCTCTACGCTTTTGCTCGATCTGGGCCCCACCCATCTGACCAATATCCAGTGACCCGACCCGAATCCGGATGGACCTGATTTAACTACATTGACCCGCTTCGGTCCCAACCCCGTGTACAAACCTGATATGGTCTGGTCCAAGTCAATCCACCATTGATCCATATCTAAACGGTTCAACCACCCTTGAACCTAAGTGGTTCGATCAAACTTGGAATTCGAATATAGTCAAATGGATTCGCTACTTGTGTAAAAATAATATGCATGTAATGTGATTTGAACCTTCACCACTTATGTAAATAATAACTACAATAACCACCAAGCTACAACCAACTTATTTATTAAGAGAGAGAATTTGTTTTTTAAGTCCATAAATATAAGATTAAATGGGTTTGGGCATATTGAATTGGATTAAAGCGAGTTTGAGCCCAACCCATTTAATTTTATATAACTGGGTCATTAATGGATTAACGAGTTAAATGGATTGGATTAAAACACAACCCAAACCAAATCAAACCCAACCCGCCCAGTCGCCACCCCTAGCTATAATCCCTTTTCAAAACCAAGTGTCCGTAGGGTTCATAAATTCACTTTATGTCATGTCTTATCATTAAATTGGTCAAAAAGACTCTTTCACCCTTAACTATTCTTTAAAATTTTAAAATATGTTTTCATTAATTAAAAAACCATACTAGAAATCGTGGCATTTCATCGAAACAATTATCCTTTTATCTTTCCTTTTTTTTCTCTCTTTCCTTTTTCCTTTTTTTTCATCTTCCTCATTTCCAATGAATAGGAGATGGCAGTGAACCAATGGCCACACCCTCTTCTCTTCAAGTCTTCATCTTCATCTTCTCTTTTGCTTTTCCTTTATTCTGCACCATGTAGACCAACATAATCCGCCTCCTTTTCCCCTTTTTATTTTTGCAACTGAAAGTTCTATAAAGACTGAAATTGAAAGGAAGACTAAAGCTGATTTCATTTTTGAAAACTTACATAAAAAAATCCTTTCCTAGACTAGAACCTCTCTTTCAATGGAGATACGATTAACAACAGGACATCGACACAATAGCTATATATTCAGCAAGTTGTGAAACCAATAACAACTCTCCACATCAATTATAAAATACATGGGGCTCACAATCATTCAATCTTAAGCTGTGGGCCTCATGTATTTTATCACTGGTGTGGGGCGTTATCATTGGTTCACAGCCCGCTACATAACCAAGCGTCTAGCCAATTCAAATTCCTTTCAATGGCCATGAAGGAGGACTATAAGATTCTCTGCAAGAAAAAACTCTGCACACACTCTGAAAACAAATGAAAATCTAGTTTCACATTTAAGAATATCTCTCCTTATATTTCCAATGTGTGGTTGTTTCACTACATGTGTAGAGTTTTTGCTTTTGAAAGAGGTTCATTTTAGCTTCTTAAACTCTTGGCCTCGTTTTTGGTTTATCACATCACCTAACATCATCTACACTTGTGCTTTAGACGACCTTAAGCTTGTCTCTTCTGCTTTGCAAAGGGATGTAAAATGTTCAAAACCCTCCATGATTGAAACTTATCTTTGCATTAACTGGTGGCTCTTTTAGGCATTTTCTTTGGTAGAAAAAAAAAATTAAAGCATAAAAAAAACTCTCAATCTCTATCCAAACTTCTATTTTGGGGTAAAAAACTAATAACATATCTTTTAATAAAATGTTAAAAAAGACCCATGTGATGGAAAATTAATACGGGAGAGGTACTGGTCTAATTGTGATATAAGCATGTTTTTCAAAATCGGACTGGACGGTTGGACCAGAAAAACCGGGAACCGGTCAGGTGACCAGTTCTGGTTTTCTCTAAAATTGGATTTTTTCATAAAAACTGTTGATTTTGGTCAGCAAACTGCTGACCTGGGCAGTTAATTATTCGAACCGTTTAAATGATTTTGACCGGTTTTCATTTTTTTAATTCTTTTTAATTTTTTTATTAGAACGGGACAACTGTTCAGTTCAAACGGCCGGACCGTTCGACCCGGTAACCGGACCCTGACCGGTTCAGTCTCCGGATCGGTTTTAAAAACCATGGATATAAGAACATTTTAAGTAGGCTTTGAAAGCTGATGGGGTATTTTAAGTATTTATGATGAATCTGAAGGGTGTTTTTAAGTGATTTTCCCTCAAATCCCGTCTCCTTCCGAAACACTCGGTAAATAAATTGTCGGTTGTCACTGCACTGGTGGAACATCAGACTTATTTTTAGTGATGCCGTTGATGGATTGACTAGAGAGGGCTGCTTCTGGTTCTGGTCTCTCTGGTAAATACGAAAAGACCAGAACGGCGACTTAATGGCCGGCCAGGGTAACAAAATTCTTGAGCCATGGCATCGTTTAGATAGGAAGGTGGTGATGGTTACCGGTGCCTCTTCAGGCCTTGGCCGCGATTTCTGCTTGGATCTTGCCAAGGCCGGTTGCAAGGTCGTGGCCGCTGCGCGACGGAAAGATCGATTGAAGTCTCTATGCGACGAAATCAATCAATTGGGCTCTACCTCCTCGTCGTCGGAGAATGATTCGAATCCTCCCAGTCTCAGAGCTGTTGCCGTAGACCTGGATTTGAACGCTAAAGGGCCTGTTATTGAGGCTTCCGTACAGAAGGCTTGGGATGCTTTCGGTCGAATCGACGCCTTGATTAACAACGCCGGAGTTAGAGGTATTTAATCCATTCGTTCTTAGCTTTTTTAAGGCTTTTTTATAGGTGATTGGAGTGTTGATTTAATAATATATTATTTGATTTGCGTCTGCTTGCATGTTTGATGTTCTAGTTTTAGGATCATTTTGCCAGATTTCTGGAAGTTGAGGACTGATTTCCCAGATACATGTATGCGCAATTCTTATTTCTGGTGATGGTTGAAGATTATGTTGTTTGTCATCTCTCCAAACGGACCCGAGTTTTGTTTCTTGTGATGGGGCACAATTCTTGTTTCTTGTGACGTTGATTGACTTCTCTCCGAAGTCCAAATATGGTGCCCCAACTATGGCAGTGGATGACTCATATGTGTTGGACTTAGGATTGACTATGAACATCAGAACATTTTATGATGTTACTTGGGTCCGTTTGGGAGCGCTTAATGTTTGTACGGAAATCCGTCTTTTTGGAATTTCATTTAAAAAAGAAGGCAGGAAACAACGAGGAGATACAACAGCAGACTTCGACAACAAACAAGACATACCAGACCAGAAACTACCTCTACCACACAAGAAGCAACCCAACAACTAACTACAACTTGGACTTACTTACCACTACATAAAGAACTAACTACAACTAGGACTTACTTACCCAACGATTAACTAAAATCACATAGCCTTTCCTTTTCTGCTATATCAACCAATCAGGTAGGAATCTGGTTCTTTAACATCAGGTTCTCGTCAAGGCCAGTGGTGGGTGCCATTTAGCGTATTTTTACAGTAAAAGATATAACCGAGATGTCAAAAGCTTCTAAATGGTTTTACATGACCAAACTTTTCTCTCCTTTAGGCTTTAAAGGCCATATCATGAAAGTCCTCCCAAACGGGCACTTGGTGATATTTGTAGTTATCTGATGTAATTCTCTGCTCATGCAAGTCAGATTTTCTCAATGGCAGAGTAAATGAAAAGAAAGACCGTGCATTCTGTTTCTACTTCTTTAAAGTGAGGAATTAGTTATTAGTTTGTTATTGTTAGGAGTTGGGACTACTTACAGTGGATAAGCATGATGAGTTGTCAATATAGTGCATGTACTTACTGATGAAGGGAAATTTGGCCCGACCTCGCGTTTGCCCGACGCGTGGCAAAGGCAAGCAGCTCGGGACAGTAGAGCACCCAAAGCGAACATCGGAAGCAAGTCAAAACTCACTACCGAACCCCAACTCCAG